CCCCTTTGTTGTTCTCACTCGGTGATATTTCAGATTGTCCGACAGCGGAGAAAGAGAGAGAGAGAGAGAAAGGGGGGAGGGGGCAAGGAGAAGGAGCAAGAGATAGAACGGACAGGTAATGCCTAGATAAATTTATAATTTTGTCGTAAATTACAGGGAGGGGATCAACGTGTGCCGGTGATGTGTATTTACACAAACCGGTTTCGACCGCGGCTGAAATCTTTTCGGTCGAGGTCCCCTCTCGCGGTCGCGCCGAAGGCGGCCGGTATTTCATGCGTCTGTCTTTCGGTATCAACGATGTAATCCCCGTGAAATTCTTAATTCAAGCGTCACGATCGCAACTGCGTAAATTTTGGTCGGACGGACTCGGCGACATTTTTAACGCGCATGAACGGACCGGAAGATATTCCTCTTCCAAGTGTAGTTTCCGTGATTTGACTAGTTTTTTTTTAGCGTGATACCGAGCCGTAAAGTCCAATCGCCCAATTAGAGAATTATAATTGGAAATTAGAGATGGACACGATTAAAACTGTAGTGAAACAAATCGCGGGAAGGTAAATGCAGTTTCCTGTAAATGTTATTCAAGGATATACACGCACGACATAATATTTCTCTTTTCTTCCTTTTCTTCCCCCTTCTCTCTCTCTCTCTCTCTCTCTCTCTCTCGCTTAACGCACGATCGACGGCGTCCATAATTGTCGGAAATTGCTGTTGCGAAATTCGGACTCCCGATGATCGCGCTGGCTCGTGATCGCGCGCGTATACCGCACGCAGGAATAACGCGTATCTAAACGAGTCGGCTTTATGGCTAATCCGAGCGGTCGAATGATGAAGAGCAGCGGCCGTTCTCTTATCGTCTATCTACTCGAGTTGCTCATGAAACGGCGCGAGTCGGTTCGGATGTTACGCTCGGAGACGGTCTCTCGACCGGCCGGCTGGCCGGCCTGCTCGTCTCGTCTGGATGAGAGAGGCTCTGCGGCGCAAATCGCAATTTATTGGGCCGTGCAAAATGAGGGAAATTGCGCTCCTCCTATCTTTACGAGCTGGATAGAAATAAAGGGAGAGAGACAGAGAGAGAGAGAGAGAGAGAGAGAGAGAGAGAGAGAGAGAGAACGAGCAGGGAGGAGGACGAAGAAGCCGCGGCGCGACGTCGGGCTGGTAGTCGAGCGGCCGATATCCCGCGAATAAACTCCTGCGGATCAACGGGCATTACGTAACGGCTTATGAGAAACTGGCTACACTCGATTCATTATGCGAAGAGGTAATGGGAGATTAGAGCAGCCGCGCGATAACGAAAATAGGTAACTCAGCCGTCGCGCGGCGCATCGCCGGCGTAAAAACGCCCCGGCCGTGAATGCCGTCATTATGTCGTCGACGCTGATGAACGTGCGAGCGCGACAATATTTCACTATGCCCTGAGATAAAGTCCCTACCGAGCGTGACCAACGAAGACCACAGAGATAGAATCGCGGACGCCGGCGACATGGAGGTTGCTGAAACATTTCGTCGGCCGAGGTACACGTCGAATACGCCGGGCTGTTCGATAAATTCGCAGGGATTTTTACGAGAAACTCGAGGCCGAGAGAGCCGCGTAATCGGACGTAACTTTGTTCTTCTCGTTTCTCACGACCGTTTGTCGAAACGCGTTGCTGGATGAAGTTGCGCCTAACTATAAAAGCATCGACTTTTGACTCTCTGCAAAAGTCCCTACAAACGACGAGTGAAACGGTGAGAGAGAGAGAGAGAGAGAGAGGAGGGGGATATTTTTATTTCGACGGGTTTAGTCTATCGCAAGGCAACAACGTACGTTTCCTCGTACGAGGGTTTGTGTTAATCAATGACTTATTATTGTGTGGCCAGTCCTCCGGAGAGGTCTCCCCCTTCAGAGAGATCCTCGGAAGTCGCTATCTCCGCTTTCGACTTTGACGCGCTTTATGTTCCTTCGTATAAGAGCACTGATCCAATTAGACATCGGCTTTCCGCGCTCGAGATCGTGTTACTCAACTGCGATCTCGCTGTTGGCGAAGTTGGTCTTGCCGGGGAAATTCTCTTCCATGGCCTTTTATCAAAGTTTTCGTGCCACCGTGTCGCCGTCTGACATTTCGTCCCCGAAAGAAAACGTCGTAATCGCGAAATGCCGTTGATTAATACGACGGGCCGTATCAAGCGCCGCTGTTAGCATTCGCTTTCCGGCGTTTGACGCTCGATAGGCAAAATCGTCATCGAGCGAGATAAACCAACAGGGACAGCTCGCTCGTCGCTCTACGCTTGGCCTTTGGCCGGGTAATTCTAAAACGCCGAGTGATAAAGCAGCGTCACCGATAACGCGGCGGATTCCTCCGTGCGGCACAATGGCGGCGCTAAACTACGATACCCCGATAAATAACTCGCGGTCGTTTTCGGCGGCCGCCGAGATTCACCCGCGCTCTCGGCTCGGCGTCCAACTACTTCGAAGCGCGACCGGATGCAAACGCTCTTTCTCTCGCCCTTCCTCTGTCCTCGCCTCGCCGGCCAAATCGTCGGACTTTCGCCTGCCGCCGTGGCGGAGTTTCGCAGCCGGTCGTTTCGAAATTCGACGAGAACACGAGAACGGCAAACAATGCGCGCGAGTCCGTGTCGTTTCAAGGCTGCCACCCTGCACTTGCCGCAACGACGACAACGCAACCGGGCCGCCGCCGAGAGCGGCCGGAGCGGCAAAATCGCGCCCGAGTTTACGGTATAATCGCGCACCCGCGGGAATTGTCTACGGCGGCACGGTGCGAGCTCGCAGGCCGGCCGGCCGGCCGAGTGTTCCTCGACTTGGCGATAGTGATTTACGGTCATGAGGTCGTGCAGCGACCGCGCGCTTGGCGTTAAACACCAAACGGCCGTTTGACTCCGAGAGCTTTATTCGTCTCGTACGTGAGGGCCGCTCGCGAAAATTGGCTCGCTGATAAAAATCGCGACGAATGCGCCCGCGCCGGCCCGCGGCCTTCTTCCTTGTTTTCCCATGTCGATGACCATGACACGTAGAAAAAGCGGCCCTCTTCTTCGCCCGTCGCCATTTCACGTCGGGTCTAAGTGTGTATTTTTGTATGCCAATTAATCGTATTTGTTATTCTGGCGGCAGATCTTCTCTCACGGAGAACCTGCGCGAGTTAATTTGCGTGTTGACGCGCGCAACGGAAAATTCTCTTCGCTCGTCAGCTACGTGCTAACTCGTGTTTAACAGTCGACGTTATACACGCGGCGCGAATTTCACGGTAAACATCATTATAGAATTTTGTAACACACGCGCGCATTTCATTCGCGCGTCCTCGGCCGATGTCACCTCGCACGGCCGAGAGCCTCGCTTCGTCATCGCGAACATTCATCGTCGCGCATCACACGTCGTCATCGCGTGAATATTTCGAGGCTCCCTTCATCCACCTTTTCTCTCTCTCTCTCTCTCTCTCTCTCTCTCTCTCTTTCTCTCTCTCTCCCCCCCTCGCTCCTTCCCGCCGTATTTTATTCGGCCCGGCACAATAAGCCGTTGACGTTGAATTTCACCGGGTAAAAACGAGAGGAGCGCTAAAAATGGGAGGAATTATAGGCGACCGGAGGCGGTGAAAAAAAAAAGAGGTCCAAGAAGTCAACGAAAAAGAAGACAAAAGATCGCAAATTGTGAAAAAGAGTAGGGCCACGCGGGTGAGGGGGAGGCGGCGGCGGCGGCGGAGGCAGAAGGAAGAACGAGCAACGGGAAGAAAGAGAGGGAACGCGGCTCGCCGCGCCCCGCGCGGCGGGGTGGCGCGTACGAAGGATATATTCACGGTGTTCACCCTTTTGTTCTCATAATCACCATTTGTGCGTGCTCTCAGATGCAGCGCGCGGCGGCATTCGTTCGCAGCGGCAGATGTGCCGCGCGCGGCTGTTGCATCGCGCTGCATCGCGAATCGAACCGGTTTGTGCGGTTTTGTTTAATTTCAGATATATCGCGGGAGGAGAGGAGAAAGAGCGTGAGCGAGAGCGAGAGAGAAAGAGAGAGAGAGAGAGCGAGAGAGAGAGAGAGAGAGAGAGAGAGAGAGAGAGAGAGAGAGAGAGAGAGAGAGAGGGAGACGGATGGACGAAGGGGGAGGAAAAAAGAGAGGGAGAGACAGTGTGTGAGTGCGCGAGGAGAGAGTAACGAGTGCGATTCCGGCGATCGAAAATGCGCGTGTTGGCCGTATTAAATGACAAATAAATCGCCCGGCGGAGTCTCATCCGCGCGCGCGCGCGAAACACGCGGCTATTTCTTTACGATCCCCACGGCGTAACGTAAACCGACGCGTTCTACGATCTTATCGCGCGCGTAGATGCTGCGAAATATATAATTTCCGGCGGAGGGAGATTTGATTAATCGCGCGAGTATCGTAAGCTATGCGAGTGTAAGCGGAGAAAATGACGCGAGCGAGCGATATCGGCGTTCGCGCGAACGCGCGAGCCTTCAGGCTGTCGTCGCGACTTTTACACTCGCCTATCCATTTTTCTCGGCGATTACAGCCGCTGATTAATTAAGCAGCGACCACTCGAGCGACCTCGAAATTTCCATCGTTGCGGCGGGCCACGCGGAAATTGATACGGCACTGCGCTCGCGTCGCCCTGACAAACTCGTATTTATCATCCGAACGTGACTTACCTCCGTCAACGACGGAGACGAATGCGGTGTCTCCGACGCATCCCGACGTGTTTACAAGGGAAACGTAGCGCGGATGGTCTGAGGAGGGTGGCTGCGTTATTGTTAGGTAAAACTGTTTGCGCTTGCACGCCACATGATATGTTTATTCACGCCGATGTCGCGACGCGCCGCGCCGTCCCGTTAAAACGAAATACCTCTATCTCTTTAATTCCCTTCTTTTCGGGAAACTTCTTTTCGGGAGATTCGCTTTCGGCTTCCGGATTTATGCCTGAAGATGAACTCCATAACGAAAAAAGCGCTTCGTTCTCTCTTCGATTCGTCCTAGAATTTATCAATATCTTTTAACTACATTGAGTGTTAATCTCAATCAGCTGTTAATCAATCGATTAGAATTCAGCTCGGTCTTGACCCTCTGAGTCCTGAAGGCACCCTTAAAAGACATGTGTCTCTAAAAATGAAAACATCTTCAGCGGTTTGTCTACATCGTCGGAAACAAGTTGTTTTCCATCTGTACCAATTTTCTGTTTCTTCATGATGAAATGTTCCAATTTCTGCCGCTGAAGCACTTTTCAAGCCAAAGTGTCGAAACACTGTCCACTGTTGAAAATAACTAAAATAATAACACTAAATCCCCAGGACAAAACCCCAAAAAAAGAATTGGAGAAAATCAGAATGCCACGATCAAGCGTTCTGCTCTCCACCCCGACCCCCACCCCCACCCTCCTCCTCCCTGGCGTACCCCGTCGAGAGAGCTGCGGACGAACCGTTAGGCGCAACAAACCCATTACTTAGCGATATTAAAACAAAGCCTCGCGCGACAAGGCACAGAACTTTCAAGAGAGTTCCGCCGATGCCCCGAGGGCCATCCTCGTCACCCCATGGCGGGGGTGTTCGCGAGTTACGAAATATCAACATCCGTAGCCTCGGGAGCCACGAACCGCCGCCGCGCGATATCCTCGGCGGGAACGAAAGTCGGTTTATTTATTTCCGGCGCGGGGGGGGGGGGGCGGAGGAGGAGTTGCAGGCGGAGGGCACGCGGAGTTGCAGCAGCCGCCTTCTCCGAGAGCCGAAGTTGCTCTTATCCTCGGGGGCCTCCCCTTCGCTCGTGTGTAATCGCGAGTATAAATATTTACGGCCGTGCGCGCCCGCCGCTTTTCGGATAGAATCGCGTGGAAAACTCGCTTTATCGCGACTAACCCTGAACGTCCGTTCGCCGGAAGCTCGCCGTTAATCCTCGCGCGCCGGCCGACTCCGTGAAGTGCATTAACGTAATGACGATCTTCGCCGGATAAATCGTCGGCTGCAAATTGCAGCGTGCGCGCGACGGTTAAAAAGTTACGGCTGTGAAATCGCAAATGGATATTTCAGTTTGTTCCATACACAGTCTGCAGAATTTTAACAGCGTAACATGCGCGCTTGTGATCACAAAGCTGGAACATTTTTCGGCCGCGGTGCCTCTTCTTGCGTGTGGCTCTCTTCGGCCACGGAAGCGCGTAAACCTGCATTTTTTGTCGAAAGTTCTTCTTTTCTCGTCTGTAAAGGATAATTTTGTGCTAGAAGTAAATAATATTCACGAGCAGCCTCTTTACGTCCCTTAAGTAGGGTCGTCGGCACGCAGCCTCGTCGTCGCCGCGAATCTTCGTTCCGTGGAATTTATGCAAATGACGACTTGTTCGCGTTTACGAGATGACCGCAAATTAATGGTACATCGCCGCGCGCTCGTGCCGCTGATTCCCGCGTCGGAAGAACTTCCGGTCTCTCGGCGGGAAACTGCTGACTTAAGATCACATGAATTTAACCGCAGTCGATGTGGCGGGGGCTTGTGCGATGAAAAATTCTTCCTCGCGATCGGTGCGCGTGCGTGTTATTTAATCCTATTGCCTGCCGAATTTCTGATCTTGGAAATTTAACAGAGTCAGATGGGTGTGCAGCAGAGTTTTATTCGAGAAGTCGCTTCTCAGTAAGCAAGGAAATTACACTACTCCAGAACAATGCAGAACTTTTATTGTAAAAAGCGACAGAAACCGGCAAAGATCCCGTTTGTTCCCTCAGGACTAACAAATCGTCACTCTGTACGGCTAAAGAAGCGTTCCATCCTCGAGGATAACGCCTCGGGAGCCTCGGGAGGTTCATTCAGACCCGTCGAACTTTTGAGATCCCCAAGACTCCTGAAAGTCGCAGTCTGCCCGACGGCCACACATGGTAAACATAAAAGGAAAGCCTGAAAACCGGCGGGGGGAGGCGTCGATTGGACGTGCGCTAAACGAAGTCCAGGAAGGGCGACGAGAGGGCGGAGAGGGAGGGCGTAATCAAGTCGACCATTAACTCCCGCGTCAGTACTGCGGCGCGACTGCACGACGTGGTTACCATTATTCACGCGCGATAAGGTCTTTAATAAGAGCCGTCGCACCGCCGCTCTTCGCGCGCTTTCTCGTTTTCTGACTTCCGAGAGCGTTTCGCGCGCGGTCTGATCTACGCGAGGCGAGAACCCGATCGCGAAACGCCGCAACGTAGACGGGGCTACGTGCATTCTTCTCGACGGAGCCGGCGTCGACGTTACCATTGTTCCGTTCCCGCCCGTATCCATCCATTTACCGTGCTTGTGTGGTCAGTCGGTGGTGTACGGCCGGTCCAAAGGGCCCCCGGAGGCTACCGAATTACAATGGCGAAAGAGCGGCCGCGGCCTTTCTCCGCGCGCGCGAGAGTCGAGAGACTCGCATACTCGCGCGCACAGCCGCGCAGACAGACGCGGAAGTCGGCCGTAGGCGCAGGTGTGTGCATTTGCATACGCTTTTGTGCCACGGTTATGCGTTATGAGGCACATACGCGGCAATTTTATACGGAATCCCGGCCGGAAAGTGAGCCGACGCGCGTCCCCGCAGCGCGCGAGATCCATCAGCGTGACACGCGGTCGTCAACGCGTAAACGAATGCGAACCGCTTGAATGGGGAGCTGCGAGTCGCCGCACCGGGCCCTGGAGTCTGTTCGCGCGTGCAGTTATTCTCGCTTACGATCGCCTTGTTGCTCCGCTCGTCTTCCGGGTCTCTGTTCGTCTCTGCTCCACGCTCGCTCTCCCCGCGAGCGTCTCAAGTTGGAACGACGTAATGTCAGGGAGCGAGAGAGAGAGAGAGAGAGAGAGAGAGAGAGAGAGAGAGAGAAAGAGAGGGAGGGAGAAAGAGGGAGAAAAAGAGAGATGGCCATGAGAAAGTAATGAAGTATGTCTCTCGATATGAAACACTGGAACGTCGGTTTTATCTGTGTGTGTGTGCGTGTTGACTCTAATTATGATTATAGTTGTACGGAATTCTTTAATCAATGACATAACACAAGTCGAGTATCTTGCCGACAAATATTCGCGCATTGCGCTCGCGCGGCTCACATGTGTTAAATGTTAAGAGTGTCGTGTATACTCTTGATTATTTATGGATACGCCCGATAATCCACGGCGCATGAGAGAAACGTGTTTCGAGTAGTTATCTCTGCTATTCTCGCGGGCATTTCGGCATGAATATATTATTTGCGCGTAACCACGCGGACCGCGCCGACGGGAATATATAACCCGTCAAATTGGTTCGTATCCTTCCTGGCGTAACGATGACGCTAGTTTTAACCGGCCACCAATTGATACCAATTAGATAATTTCGCCCGTAAAGATCAGATTGTAACGGTCATCGCGAAATTTGCCGCGAAACCAGATCAAATAATTATTTTCATTTGAAGGTGATTATTCGGCCGGGATATCCATTACGCAATTATGAAACGATAATTGCAGCTGATTGCAACATTGAAACTTGAGCACCCGCACGATATTCGTCCGTCTTCGTGTTGCGTTGCCTATTATATCGCCGATGGAGTTTCCCGTTCCGCAAGCGATACCTCTCTCGCGTCAAGTTACAAGCCGCAGGCAACTAAATTTTCAATTTTCCAATTTTCCCCGCTGAAACTTTTCACTTCGCTCTCGCTGAAACCACTTGGCAAATTCAACTTTTGAAGCGCTATTTACACCTATCTAATATCTCTTCGTTGAAGTAACGCTAAATTAGGAACTGCCACTCGAAGGCAGTGAAAGAAATGAGCGGAACGAACCGCGCTATCCTCCGGTCGCGCAGAACTGGTCGCAAACGTGACTCGCGACAAAACGCGATTCGCGACACAAAAGTCGCGAAATAAAATAAATAAAACGCAAGGGAGAAGGCCCGTCCGAAGATCGAAGAACGCGGCCGGAAGAAGATGGACGACGAGAAGAAAGAGCGTGGAAAGAGAAGGAGGAGCAGCAGGAGGAGAAGAAGCAGGAGGAAAAAGAGAAAGAGGACCGAGTCACTCGGGCTCGATGGCAAACGCGCATCTCGCGAGCTGAAATTTCAGCCCGCGAGACGGGCATTTATTTCGATTCGCCGCGGCTAGAGCGCAATGCATGGTAAATGCGCGCGTTCGCGCGCTCGCTCGCGTCCCGCATGAATATTTACATCCAGATGGTGTACATAAATAGTACTCAACGAAAAAATGGGTTAGACCGGGGGATATACCCGCGCCGTAGATATCCGCCGGAAGCGGTCGCAAATTCTCCGAGTCTCGCGCGGCACACAACCGCGCATTGCGCATAACTCTCTCGTCGACTCCCTCCCCGCACCTCCTGACTCTTCACTCTCATCCCCCCCCCTCTCTCTCTCTCTCTCTCTCTCTCTCTCTCTGTTCTTCTCTCCTACCCTCGCTTTCTCGTCTCGCGGCTACATTCCGAATTATATTTTTCATTACGAAGCAAACCCTCGGCTGATCCCGTCGAAATTAAAAGTCGACGACGCGCGAGTGCGTTGAATTTTTATCCTTCGCGCGCGCGAAGACGCGCCCTCGAGATCGCCGAATGCACCGTAGACGCGTAGACGCTTGATTCCTCATTAACGGAAGAGGGGGGAAGGGTACTTTTAATTAAGCTTCACGTCGATTAATAAATATTTTGTATTATACAGGGCGGAGGAACATGGCGATTCTGGATTTATCGGTCGTATTACAACGGCACGATATCAGGCTACCGCGATATCATCGAACGCGCGTCGATCGCGCGCCTTGGTGCGACGCTGCGTCTCTTGAGATTCCCGCGGCAATTAGGTCAGAATTATCCCGGCCTGCCGGGCAGTGTGTTGTCAGCGGCGCGAGCGGTATTCCTTTGTGCGACGGCTCCCCTGAAAGGATGATAACGTCGGCGATGGTGTCATTCTCGCGCGCCTCTGTCCGTCCGTCTCTCGATAAACAGCTTTCTCTCGCGCGCGCGCACCAGAGGGATAATTAAATTCGAAAATATTCGAGGAACATTCGAGGCGCGAGCGAAGGGGAAAAGAAAGGCAAGGAGGAAAATGAGGAGGTAGCACGTCAGAGGGTGCACAAGCGCGCGGGCCGTCGGAAAATTTTCGCGACATTTTACGACAAATAACATCTACTTTATTGTCGCGTTCGTGACGAATGGCGGATTACGCGTACGCGCGAAATGAAATATCGCTTTTATCGGGCGAATCATCGTACTCCCGTTCGCTATTCCGAGATCACGTACTGCCTGGCTGGCTGGCTGGCTGGCTGGTCGCGCCATTCGCTCGCGTTTTCACGTTTACGTTCTTCCTATATTTTACACGTATCCAGACTCTAATCTCCCCGTGCGCTCTAATCTCTCTAATCTCTCCGCGTACACACACATACGTTCTACTTTCGGCCGATAAATTGGATCCCCCGAATAACCGTCCTCCAAGTATCTTTAATTCCGCGTAATTAAAAGCGCCGTGTAATTATCCCGGGTGCGCCGTAAGACGCGGGAAATTAACGCGCCGAGAGAAGCCAGTTCGTCCGGGAAGAAGAGAGAGAGAGAGAGAAAGAGGGAAGAAAACGAGCCGGCCGATTTATACATTCTTCTCACACGCGCGCATTCTTACATTCGACGTCGCTCTGACACGGATTACCGAAAAATGATCCCAGCGTCAGGATACGTCAGGAGGATTTCTCGACTCAAACGGTCGATCTACTTTCTCTCCCTCTCTTCGTCTCGCTCACCTTGCTTCTAGCGTGACTACGTAACGACTCCTCCGACTTCTTCAATTCGTCCATCACGTACTCGGTGTCCTCGGCCTCCATCTTGGAGTCGTGGCTATCGCCGTAAGTGCTCACGCGTATCACCTTCGGGCGCTCGCTCTTGTCGCTCGTCAAACTGATCTGGGACGAAAAAGGCGATATGGCGCGACAAAGGACACGAGAATCGCCGTGTCTCCCGCGCGAAAACTCTTACTTGAGATCCGTCCGCGCAGCGATGTCCTCGTGCGGGCCCCGTGGAGGACCTCGCGAGGCCACGACGGCGGCAAACGGCGAGCGGGAAAATGAGGAAGAACGTCATGTTGAGAAGGAACTCTGCTTTCCTGAGGGAACACGGAGGATCGTTGCGTCGCTTCGCGACCGTTCTGCTTGTAGGCTCTCGCGATTGTTCACTTACTCCGTCCTCACCTGCTGCATCTCCTGACATTCCTCCTGCGCGTGTCCGGCTGTACAGGTGCCCCACGTTCGTCCTTCGCCGCGCATTTGCACTTCAACTCCTGTACGAAGTACTCCGACATCTCGCCCGTCGCTAACAGAGAATCAAAACCCCAACGGCTCACCGCCGGTACGCACAAACCGATCAGCCATTTCAGGAATCCTAGAAAGGAATATTTTACCGAATTTTATCGGGCATGTAACATTTTGTGATATAAAGCACGCGAAGATATTCTTTTGACTTTCGGACTTCGACTCGATGGAAGACTAACGAATCGTCGTCGTACGACGTTCGCTAAGCAGCGTGTTATATAATATTCGATAATATTTTATTGGTGTTTTGCTGAAAAATCGAGCCATTACACCGCACTAATATACGTGTACGTTTAACGTAGAATCAAAATTTTGACTCAAAAATCGACCTTCGACGACATTTTCGACTCCTCGACAACTTTGACAAACGCACGGAAAAAATGTCAGTGACAAAATGGAGAGCAGACGGAAACGGGAACGTGTTTAGATTCGGTTGATCGACGACAGTCACCTATGAATTTGATGACACTCACCTATGAAGAGCAAGAGCAGGATTAACGAAACGATAAAGAGCAGCACGTTCACCACAGTGATGTCCGAGAGAAATGCGCCGCGAAGTCCGGTGGCGTGATAAAGCCCGGTCGACATCGGTCGGCAGTCGGTACTGTTCGCGTCGCCCACGCACACGCACGAGCAGCGCGACACGCAGGAGCAGCGATCCATTTTCCGTATCCTTATCCTCCTGGTGGCCACCGGTTCTCCGTGACGGTTCAGTAATTGCACTGGAAACGCGACCGCGCGATTTTTCCCCCTACATACTCGCACGCGATCGGGCCCACGCGCCCGCGCTCGAATTGCGAGAAAGTTTCCTCGTTTCGGGTGCGCTCATAACAAAATAATTGACGTGTTGTATTAACACTAGGTTTTACGGGACCCGTCATTTTGACGGATTTTGAACTTCATGAGCAAAATTACAAAAACCATTACTATTATCTTTTTCCAATTTATGCTGACAATTATTGGCATAATAAAACGAATATATACCCAAATTTATTTCCCCTTCAGCCCTGTAATTTCAGAATTCTGTACGATGTATACCTATCTTTACGGATGCCCGTCAAAATGACGGGTAAGCTAGTTTTATAGTTAATCGTAATCAATCGGTTTTTTTTTTCATGAAATTATTTTTCTGGTGATAAATATACACGTAGGTAGAACGCGGATACTGAATAAGAATCAAAATTCAACGTAAATATCTTTCGATGGCATCGAGCCCGATTTCAAAGCGCCGCGGTCCGTCGAAGCAAGGGATATGTTTCGTGTGCAATGTCAATCGTACATGCCGAAGAGTAAACACAAAGCGATGGGCTCGAGACTAAAACGATCCGCAGTCGTTGAGTTCTTGTCAAAGTGTATAAGTTTGTGTTTATTTATGCAATCGTATCGGATTTAATTAACTTATATTAAGTTCCTTAAGATTGTAATTGTTTTTAAATTAAATTAATCGTTTTCTCTAAAGAAAATACGTGGTTTCCTGTACCCGTCAATTTGACGGGTGTCCTGTAAAGATAGGTATGCAGAAATGTCCGTAAACCTAGTGTTAAACCTAGTGTTAAAGGGAAAAGATGTGAGTTCGTTATGTGAAGCATGACAAAGTTGAAGAAAGCGTGATTTTTAATCCTAAAGGCTACCATCATCCCAATGTCATCCCAAGCTAATTTTTCTTGTTATTGTTTATAGCAAAGTATACGAGAGAATTAATGTGTTTTATCGTAATGTTATCACCGCTGATAGTGTAAATAAATACCTATAAAATTGTGTTATCAGGATAGTTACGTTTTTTAATGAGATCTCACGGGATGAAATTTCCATGGTAGTCTTTAAGAATCAAGCACGATGCGCACGGAAACGATCGGCTATTACGAACACAAAGAGTTCTTATCTGATTAATAGATTACTATGCATTTTTACCGGAACAGTAAAATTCGTCGATTGGGAGCTCGCCGTAAAGATCCAGGCTCATTGTTTCATTCCGTCGCGGTTGAATCGTTCTTCTCGGAAAAATAGCGTTCGTCCAGGTGTCTGGGAGACCGACGGGACAGTCCGCGATCCTCGATCGAAAAGGCACCGGGATCAATCGTTTGTTTGTTATCACAACGGTCAACACGGTGTGATCAGGTGCCGTACAGTCTGTGTACACTTGGCTGATACGGCCGAAAGGTGGTGGTCTGTGGTCTCACCAAACAGTGGGAATTAGATGGAAAGAAAAGTATTCATAGTCCGACCCTATACTTAAGACCGTCTCAGGTTTATCTTTAGATATTGCGCGAGCTTGAGAAGAAAAGTCGAAAACAATTCGAACCGCAAAGACTTAAAACGACCTTAAAGGTAAGACCAAACTATCGATACCGCTCGAAGTTACCGTCGAGACTCCTGGGGTTGGAATTCTCGAGTGACCTGTTTTGCTCGATTGCGGAAAACCCGAGCGTTTACCACGCTCTATCGATCATCCATTAACAGATCGACAGTGCCGCCTACTTGCGATCGCTTCGCTTCGCGTTCTTGAAGTGCAAGAGAAGTGCAAGCAAGTGAATTAAAAAACTCCGCGTTTGTAGGCCTCACGTTAATCGTTACTCTCTCATAGCTCTCTCATAGCTAGACGTCTCTCAATTTCCATTCGAGATACGTCAAACATATTTTTCTCCAGAAAAAGAACGTCACAACGTGCCTCGAGTGAAGTACTCAGCTTTAAATTCACACACTTGAAGATGAATTTTTCAGTTGAACAACGTTTCAGATACAACGTCAGATACGATTCAACCGAAAAGACGGATTAAACTCTGAATAATATTAATACGGACTTGAATCGTCATTCAGAAATAATCGCCATGTTTGGAGGGCGAGTAGAATTTCTCAGCCCTCCCCCTTCTCTCTCTCTCTCTCTCTCTCTCGCTCCCTCCCTCCCTCCCTCCCTCCCTCCCTCCTCCCTCCCTCCCTCTCTTTCCTTCTCTTTTTCTCTCTCCTTCAGGCCACCCTTATTTAGTCAGAGATGCGAGTATCGCTCTCGATACTCACCGTGGCGCGAGCGCGACGTTGTAACTCGGCCTGATTTCGATGTCGATCGCAGACACGTGCGCCGAATGGTACTCCAGAGCGAGGAACTCGCAGCTTCCGCTTCCGTTCGCGCTGTACTTGATGGGCTCGCTCGGCACGGATGCGAAATTGCTCAAGAAGTAACAACCGGGTCGCCCGGCCGCCCGAGCTTCCTGCTGACACGTGACACCAGATCGAACGAAACGAACACAAGCTGACCTTCGACAAGGCCGGCTGGCTGGCGGAAATGTCCAGAAAAGCGAGTCGGTTTCCGACGTGCATTTGCGCGACTACGATGGCCGTCCACCCTCGCAACCATCATACGCTCTCTGATATACCGCGATGACGTATCACAGCTCGCGCGGAGCGAACGCGCGGAGTGAAGTGAGCCGATCGGAAGCCGATCGGGCTTCGCCTCTCTCTCTCTCTCTCTCTCTCTCTCTCTCTCTCTCTCTCTCTCTCTCTCTCTCTCTCTCTCTCTCTCTCAATATTCCGCTGCTTCTTTAACTTTTGAGTATCTAATACGCCGAAACTAATATACAAAGTCTTCGCAGACTCCTGCTGAAACTTCAACTCCGACCACCGACGAGGCAGGAGTAGTAGAGACCGTCAGTGAGGATCTTGTTAAATATTTTTGTGCAAACTGCCTTCCGCGATTATCAGCTTCGCTGACTTGGCATGAATTTTACCGATAGGCGATTATTAACGTATCGATCATTAAGCATGAATTATTTCGCGCGTGGTGCATGGAATGAATCTTTTATTCCATACACCGAGTACGAGTTAACTCGCCCGAGCGTTTCCCGCGAGTTTCGCTGACATTTAATTAGCGCATTAAAGCAACACGCTGATTTTCAAACGACCTTGAGAAAAAGGTTCCCTTTGGTATTCATGTTCTTTTACGTATTTCATCGACGTTAATAAGCACGATTTCACCCGTCTCGGTCTCAGTGGTATGGAGTTTTCAAGAAGTGATTTCCTTCATCGATTATCCTCCGCGCGATTGTTTGCTCCTAAAGCGCTCAAAGAGTTAACGATAGCCTCGTCAGTGCTTTGGCGTTCACAAAGGGGACTTGGCTTTACTTGATGAGCAATTAGATTTTTTAAATCGTTCTCTTATTTGTCAGCTTCCGCGCATTTTTTTCCAAGTTTTATTCTTCCAGTGAATTACGCGACGAAAGTCGCAGAGACGCGCGGAATAAATCTCAATTTACACGTCGAGAGACCTGCGCGGCGCGTCGTTTGCGCGATTACAACGACTGGCTTCAAGAGCGAACACGCGAAACCACGGAACAATAATTCACAGACCGTGACGCGCGTTGTTACTGGCTACAAATTATCCTCCCTCTTCTCCTACCCCTCTCGCCGCGCTCACACGTCGCCTTTCTCTCTCTCTCTCTCTCTCTCTCTCTCTCTCTCTCTCTCTCTCTCTCTCTCTCTCTCTCTCTCTCTCTCTCTCTCTCTCTCTCTCTCCCCCCCCTTTCTTCTTTTTAGATAAAACATTTTCGAATGAAAAGCATCAGACGCGATAAGTTTGCAAATTGCGGATTTTTACGATTCGCGATTTGCAAACTCATTTCGCGCGAACGGCGATTCCACTCGAACTTCGCGTGTGTGGAAGGAGGAAAAGTAAGAGAGAGAGAGAGAGAGAGAGAGAGAAAGAGTCGCCGGACAAATCTCCTCACGACGTTCCGCGGGCGTAAGTATTAAATTCGCGCGCGATAAATCACGGGGCGAGCGAACGAATGGACGGGCGGGCGGACGCACTTAAAGCGTCTCGCGCGTTTATGAGATGACACGACGCGACGCGACGCGACGCCCGAGGACAAGCTATTTCCAGTTGTTTCATTTATTGCACCTGTCATACGTACCGCATCGTGCCTACGGTAGGCCAGCGGCTGATTTTTCAAACAGGTCCCCTTGACACGTTCACACCGGTCCGGCTGGCCGGCAAACGCTGCGAATCCCACGCCCGCTT